CAGTCGGCTCCCTCTTTTCACCATGTGAAGGACAGTTTGTAACAGTCAGCTCCCTCTTTTCACCCTGACCTGCTGAGTCATCTTGCAGGGCACAGAAGGGCTCTGTACCTACATTTCTGAGGTATAGATAAGGCTGAAGCCAGACATGATGAACCCTGCAATCCCAACACTCGGAGGCTGAGACAGGTGGAGTCTGGGGATGGCAGGCCTCCATAGAGGGTCCCCGGCCAGTCAGAGGAACACAGTGGAGGCCTTGTCTCACCTGCTCCTACTGAAAAGCCCCAGGACGGCCACATAGATCAGAACATGCCAAAAGATTCTCAGCCATGCCTGCCCACAGCACTTCTGTAATTTTGTACTTAGTTTTGGGTGCTAATTAAACAGAAACCTAATTCTGAAAAGGACCTCTAGTCATGCTTTTAAAAAGTATTTGTTTGATTATTTATTACTTTTTATTTTTGTGAGATTGTTCTTTACGTAGCCCAGGCAGGCCTAGGACCTGCTATGTAGCCCAGGATGACCCCAGACTTTCGAGCCTCCTTGCTTTTCCTTTGGAACACCAGAATTTCAGGCATGAGTCCCCACTCCCAGCTGCTGCCAGGTCCTCTGCCTGGGAGTCCTTGTGGTTCTGACTCAGTCTGGGTACAGCCATCCCCTCACGACCATCACCGAGGTGACAGAACGCAAGCCAGAGAAGCAAACACTCACGAAGGTCGTCTCACTTCTCCACAGAGGTCACGGGCTCTGCACACATCTAGAATTTCAGGCACGGCCCTTGAGAACTGAGTACTCACGTTTTCCAGGAGGCAGACAGCAGCAGGATTGCCTCGGAAAGCTGTCGCCGTGAACGCATCTGCTATGAATATCGGGAGCTTCATTTTCCTCCCTGGCTCTGTGAGGTCCCTGCCTTGCTGGGAGCCTGCCTGCCTCACTTCCTGTTGTTAAAAAGAAAAATAAGTTAATGTTTTACTCCATATACAGACATAGTTAACAGTTCCCAGATAAAAAGTCAATTACTCCAACATACTTTCACCTAAAGATGTGTGAACCCCCACTTTCCAAAGCCTCTGCCTTGTTTTAAAGTACTAGCTGAAGGAACCATTTTTACCTTTGCCTGTTCACCACACACACACACGTGTAGTGTGCATATATACATATACACATATATACTATATGTGTATATGTATATATACAATATATGTACGTATGTATGTATGTATATAATACATACTTATAATACAAATATATATTTATATTATTTTATATATATATTGAATGTGTGTGTGCTGAAGATTAAAACCAGGGACTCAATTGTGCTAAGCACAAGTTTACAACTCCCAAAGTTCCCTTTGAATGTGTTTTTAATTAAATTCATTACTGAAGAACAGAATTCTACCATTTAGTGCTTTTTAAAATTTTTCTAGAAATGCTGTAATGCTTCTCAAACCAACAGCAAAAAAAATCCTTCTAAAGGATTAGGTCTCAAAGGCTCTAATAACCCGCGTCCTTCAACAAGACGTCCCCAGCCCTCCACAGCATACCAAGCTTCACCTTCTCTTCCTCAAAGAACTTGGGTTTTGTTTTGGCCTCAGAGATGCATAGGGCCCCGGCCAGTCAGGACAGTTCTCAGGTTTTAAGATTTCCACAGCTAGGTGGCGACAAGTCTCAATGAGGGAAAGCGGGCTGGAGAGATCCTGGGAGAATCCTGAGGAACAGGAGCGAGCTAAGAGACTAGGCTGCCCATCCTTTCCCTTTCCACTGAGCTGAACATGGTTTTGACACTAGACTTGCAAGCGCCTGGTCTTTGGACCGTGACAAGCACGGAGACAGGAAACTAAGAGACTAGACATGGGGGAAGCACAGGCTTCCTGCTGCTGTAGTTCACCTGCTAGATGCCCCTCAAGTGTTCCTACCACGAAACTTCTTGCCTGACACGTAGTAAGAGTTCCAAAGTTTCAAGCCATTGTTAGTACAGTAACAGCCAGAACTATGACTCCCCAAAGTTGTCCACACTGCAACTCCCAAAACCCCATAAGTATGTTTTGTTACTAGCAAGAGGGAATTAGGTTCAATCAACTGATTATTGTGGATTATATATGTGTATATGTATATATCTGTATGTATATGTGTATATATTTCTAGCTTTATGTTGAGATGGGGAAAAATGAAACTCAAACCCATTTTGGAGCAATCCTGGGCTATATTGTGAGCCCCTATCTTCTTAATAATTTGTTCTGGGCAATGGCAACGAACGCCTGTAATCCCGGTACTCAGGGAGGCAGAGGCAGGTAGAACTCTGTGAGTTTTTACAAAGTGAATTCCAGGACAGCCAAGGCTGCACAGAGAAACCCTGTCTCGAAAAATAAATTAATAATAACAATAACAATAGTTTCTCTCAACTCAAACCCATAACCCACATTACTTGCTGGATCACTGAATGTGTAGGATTTCTCTCCAGCAATCAGCAAGCAATCACTGCTGTACTGGACATTAGCTAGGTGTCCCTTGCTTTAATTCAGTTCTGTCTCTGTCTTCCTGGGAACAGCAGCAGACACCATGAGACCCCTTACTCTCCCCCAACACACACACTCATTTTAGTAACAACTCTCGACTCTTAACAATTACTGTCTCCACAGCCCCTGCCTTGGGTTCAGTTAACCTGGCAAGGCAGCAGGAAGAAGTCAAGGAAACACTATGCTTATGTTTACCACTTAACATGAGGGACGTTTTAAAGCATGACCCTGAGACACATAGGGAGAGGTAGAGGAGGAGCAAGGAACTTCCAGGCTACAGAAAACAGAGCAATTCCCGCTATTCTGTAGCTGTTCACATTGAAAACTCACTTCCAGAGTACTCAATAACACAGCTGTTTTGTTCTTTGACAGTGTAAAAGTTCATTAACAGGATGTTGGCAGACGCTGTGAATGTGAGTATTGAGGAAGTTAATGTTTTCATTTGTTTTAAGGAAAATGAAAATTAACCAGTGCTCTGATTGTTCTCTGAGTTAGAACAGTATGAGCCAGCAGCTCGTTTGTGACTGTAACAGCCTCCACCACGACCTATCAAAAACAGGTTGAGTCCTTTCTGCTCCTGTGTAAAGAAACCACACCTGACCGAGGAATTGTGCTGGATAGCCATATTTTAAATGTTGAAGCTTTATATATAAGCTAATATAATCTCATAGTTAGATGCACCAATCTTTTTATAGAACACTATAGAATCTTATTCTTTTGAAATTAATACCTGTAATTCTAGTACTTGAGAAGCAGAAAGCAGGAGGATCAAGACTTAAAGGTAGCAGGACATGGTGGCACACACCTTTAATCACAGCCCTCAGGAGGCAGAGGCAGAAGATCCATGAATTCAAGGACAGCCTGGTCTACAGAGCAGGTTCCAGGATGGCCAGGGCTACACAGAGAAACCCTGACTTGAAACTTGCCTTGAAAAACTAGAGACAGAGAGAGAGAGAGACAGAGGAAGACAGAGAGAGATTAAGGTCATTTTTGGCAATACAGTGAGTTTGGAACCAGCCTGGGCTGCATGGGAGCCTGCCTCAAAAAGCCAAGCTGAGCACACACCTAAATTTAATCCCAGCACTGAGAGGAAGGGGGAGCTCTGTGAGTTCAAGGACAGCCAAGGTTACACAGAGAAACCCTGTCTAAAACACACACACACACATACACACATACACACACACACCAATCTGAACTTAGGAACTAGTGTCAGTAATACCAGCATTTAAGAGGCTAAAGAGGGGGTCTAGAGAGATGGCTCAGCTGTTAAGAGCACTAGCTGCTCTTCCCAGCACCCCCATGGCAGCTTGCCGCTGTCTGTAATGCCAGTTCCTGAGGAATCTCATACACTGGGTTATCTCACACAGACATACATGCAGGCAGGACGCCAATGCACATAAAATAAAAATAAATATTTAAAAAAGGAGGCTGAGGGGGCTCGCCATACGTCCAAGGCAAACCTGATCTGCATAATGAGTTCCAGGGTAGCCTGAACACAGAGTGCTACCCTCTCTCAAAAACAAAACTGCTGTGGGGGGTGGGGAGGGAAGAGGAGGAGGAGGAAGAGGAGACCCCATCATTCTGGAACAACCTGACAGTCCCTGTTAGGATATGTTCATAATGAATTACAGCTTGGCCGCTCTGCTGTTTTCCTGGCAGACCCCACTAGCAAGGCTTTTTCTATTAACCTGGTTCAGTTCACATAGCAAAAACAGCTTTTTTTCCAGAACTGTTTGTCAAAAAGTCAACCAACTGTTTAATAACATTATGCCTGCTTGAGTCATAGGCACGTTACTGAGGCATGCAATCGACTTTAAGCAAATGTTTGTAAGAATTAGCCCGAGCATGAGAGGTTTTGGAATGTTTGTTTTTAAGGTTTATTTTCATGGATGTGCACACGTGCACCTACAGAAGGCAAAAGGAGGTTGCTGGATCCCGTGGGGCTGGAGTCACAGATCGGAAGCTGTCCGACATGGGTGCTGGGAACCGAGCCCAAGCAAGAGCAGCAAGCACAACTGGGTGTGGTGGCACACATCTTTGATTCCAGCACTGAGGAGGCAGAGGCAGGTGGATCTCTGAGTTTGAGGCCAGCCTGGCCTATGTGGAAAGTTCTAACACACCCTCGACTATGAAGCAAAGCTAGACGCCATCTCAAAACAATAACAAAAATAAGCAGCAGAACAATAAAACAAAAGAAAAGAACCGAGACAGCAAGTGCTCTTCACTGCTGAGCCCTCTCCAGCCCTAGAAGGGGGTTGGAAGCTCTGACTTATACCATGGGCTGGGAATGCTGCTCAGGAGAGGAACTGCTGGCATATGAGAGGGCTTGGTTTCAATGTTACCACTGAAAGAAGAAAGGGCAAGAAGAAAGGGCACAGAGGGCTGGGCATGCCTTTAATCACAGCGCTATGAGAGGCAGAGCAGGCGGATCACTGTGAGTTTCCAGGCCAGTCTGGTCTACGGAGAGAGCCCAGGACAGCCAAGGCTATACAAGGCTATACCCTGACTTGAAAAACCAAAAGAGAAGAGGAGAAGGAGGAAGAGGAGAAGGGAAGCAGAGAAGCTCTTGTGTGTTTGCGTGTCCTGGGATTCAGAAGGCGATGCACAGGTAGACGGCTCTGAATCTGTCCTAGACTACACACATGAACACCTACAGCGGTCACGTTAGCCACCTGGAGCCTTTGGGCAAGCATAAAGTGACCAGAGTGGTTGTTACTTTCTTATCACTGTACCACAGTAACTGAGCAGAACAACTTAAGCTTGGAAGGTTTATTTTGGCTCCTTTTCAGAGGGTTCAGGCACCACATGGGTTAAAGAAAGGCATGGAGAAAAGCAGCTCAGGGTGTGGCAGCCAGAGAGAGAATATGCACTTGAGGGGAGGGGAGACTTTTTTTCCATCCTCCTACCCCCTCATAATGGTTAATGCCACTCACATGCAGGCCAGAGAGAGAGTAAGGCGAGGTGGGGACCGCAACCTTGCTTGGCTAATGTATGCATCTTTCAATCCAATTAAATTGACAAGACTAAGCTCCATTCCACTAAAATCAGGAACAAATCAAGAATGCCCACACTTCATACTTATTCAAATAGTACTTAAAGTCTTAGCTAGACCAATAAGACAACTGAAGGAGATTGAGGGAACAAATGGGAAGGGGAAAGTTAGAGTATATTAGGTGACAGATGATGTGATTTCATACATAAAAGACCCTAAAAACTCCACCAGGAAACTTCTAATCTAATAAACACTTCCAGCAATATAGCAGGCTATAAAATTAATGCAATCATCAGTAACCTTCCTGTATACAAAGAATAAGCAGACCAAGAAAAAAAAAAAATCAGAGAAACAGTACCTTTCACAATTACCACAAAACAAAACAAAACAAAAATCTTGGGATAATTCTAACCAAGCAAGTGAAAGACTT